TGATTGGTCCTAATTTTCATCAACAAAGCTTCTTAATGTCATCAGTACTCAACTTGGTATCTATGCTGGTGATACAATTGAAGTCCTGTCTTAATAGTAAATCTGATTGATTCAATAAGGTCAAATCTCAAAAATGACCTACAATCAGTTGCTAACTGGAGTAAAGAATGACTTGTTAATTTTAGTGCCTCCAAAACAAAACTGATCTTTTATAATTGGTTAAAAGAGCCCATTTTAGCTTCCATCAGCATGGCTGATGCTAACCTCTAGGAGAATGACTCATTGCACCTTTTTGGGCTAACATTTTTCATTGACATTAAGTGGAAAGATTATATCGAATCAATTGCTAGGTCTGCTGCTAGGAAAGTTGGTTCACTGTGTCATGCTAGACAATTTTTCTCACCAGAATCTATCTTACATATTTATAAGTACACCACTTGTTCTTGCTTTGAATATTGCTGCCACATATGGACTGGTCCTCCTGGTATATATTTAGAGATTCTTGATAAAATCCAAAGAAGAATCTGCAATGTTATTGGTCCTGACCTGGCATCCCAGCTTCAGTCACTTTCCTACTACCATAATGTAACTTCCCTGTGCCTTTTCTATAAATACTTTCATGGTAATTGTTCTGATGAACTTTCCTTTATGGTACTTAGACTTTATAAATTTAAGCATCACCCCAGAGTGGCAGAAAGGTCTCATCATTTTACAAGTGAAATTGTTAGATATACCCATAAGTTCTATGCTAATAGTTTCTTCTATTGCACTTCTCACTTGTGAAGCTCTTCTGGTTTTTGCTTCCCAGTAAACTTTGATTTTCCAAAATTTAAATGCAATGTCAATCATTATCTTGTATCTTCTTAATTCTTGTTCTTTTACTGTTCTCTTATCTTAATAGTGTTTTATTATATTCTCTAACACCCTTGTGTCTTTAGTGGTTTAATTGCCTTGTTTAGAGTGAAATGATTAAAAAAAAAGATGTCAAAATTATTTTTTGAGTTGAGTTTTAGCAAGAAAACTAAATTTACAACAAAACAAATGAAACATAGAAAAACATTGTGTGCTTCCATAAGTGAATATCAAAAACGTTCTTAAAGAACAAGACAATATTTGAGAAAACTCTTTAATTCATGATTAACTCAAAATATACTGCAAAAACTATAAAACACTCAGTAACAATTACACTATGAGGAACAATTTAAGATGTAAAAAAGCATAATCAGTTTATGCAATAGAAATGGGAATTCAAAAAATATCAACATATACTCAAGAAGGCATAAATATATGAAAATTTGTTAAATAGGATTTAGAGTTAACCATAAATTATTCAATAGAAAAGGGCATTGCATATTTAAAAAATTGGTGAAGCCAATTTTCTGACTTGAATATTATAGTAAGTTAGAAGATACTGAATGATAAATGTTCAAAGACTATTGATCAGATTTGTCTCCTGATTTTGATATTATAGAAAATTTGTTGGAATGTACTAAAATGGTAAATGATTGGAAAATGTCCATATATGATTGAACAGCTTTGGGAAATTACGAATACTGAGAGAGAAAATAATGATCATTCCTTTATTTTTGATTTACATTCCCCACTACCAAAAATAATTTTGACTGCTTTAAGTAGTAAAGGAATTAATAAAAAATCGTTTTTATAATTATAATCTATATATTTATTTTTTGAAAAATGGTTTAATTTGCTTTTTTTTTTTTAAAATCTATAATTATAAATTGCCTAAAACATTTACTTGCAAAAATTTTTGAAGTTCCTGTTAAAATCTATTATCTATTCAAAATAGAAAATTTTTTATTTAAGTTTTTATTTATTTCTATCTAATGTTGGATTAAGTCTAGAATCACAATGTTAAGTTATGAATGTTTTAATTCAATTGACTATGTACTTTGAATTTACTTGAGAGAGTAATTTTATTTTACTTACATCATTTGCACATCATAAGGTCTAAAAACCTCACATGTATTTTTGTCAGAGAAATAATTTTCAGAAACATTTAATTCTTTACCATTCTCAAATCAGAAATATTTTATCATCTGATGCCTCTTACACTTTGTATATTTTAGTTTTAAAAATGTTTGAAATAATAGATCCATTATGTTTGTTAAAACGTTAACTTACTAATATAACAAATTATAATTTTATTCTTATTGCTTTCTAATTTAAACAATGCCTTTGATTCAGTATACTTTGAATTGTGTTCATTTCTTTAACTAGCCACTATGTCTTAATTAGTCACTATTATCTTTTGCTAGTCCACAAAATATGTTGTACTTTGGTCTTTGTAAATATAATCATCATATAATCCCAGTTAGCTATTATTCAAATAACTGACTTTTCTCCATAATTGTGCTGATATGCTAATCAGTTTTTGCTGTTCAAAAGGTCCAAACCAACATTCTTTTTTTGGAATTCTTTATTGAAACAAAAATCACAGAATAAAGTATCCTTTGTATTACTTTCTTTTAGATTTTAGCATTTTTTGAAATATAAAAGTGTTTTTCACTTGTGTTGTATTTTCTCTATTTAGTTGTTGATCAAAATATTTGAATCAATTATGTTCAACAAAAATTGTTTTGAAAAAATTTATTGAAATGAGGAAAAGACTCCATTACCTAATAAAGAAATGATCAATGAAATAATTTTCATTTTTCATATAAGATGATCTAATTCAGAAAAGGTTAAAACAATCACCATATTTTGAATACAACCAATCAAGTACAATAAATTAGTAAAATATTGAGTTTTTTAAGTGTTGAGAAAATACTTGTTGATTATTATGAATAAGTAAAAGCTATGTTTATCATTGTATACAAGTAAAAATAGTTATTGTTAGCTTTGGAAAATCAAATTTAAATGTAAAATCAATTCTTTTTTTAAGGAGTTCATTAAAACATTAAAATTTGATTGAGATAATTAAGCATTTTTCAGATTCTGTTTTGAAAATAAATTCTAATATTTTGCTGAATTGCAAAAATAAGTTTTATCCAACAAATTACTGAATCTATTCAAGATATACAAAATATTCCTTACAAATGTCTTGTAATGTTTAGCATACCATTTATTGAGTTTGGAGGAAATTGATTTCAGTATTGTTGCTGAATATGGAAACATAGGAAAAGAGAATCAAATGAGGCAAAAACTATTTTCAATTCTCTTATAAATTAAATGAGAAAATGTCTTATATCTCACACAAAACTCAGGCTTAAATAAAACATGTATTTTGCAAATATTTGTATGCGATGTTAGTCATTCATTTTCTCAAAACTTTATTCTTTTCTTTTGTACATATGTTTAAAATTTGCTATATTTCAAGGGTAAGAGGGTTCAATATCAATGATAAAGCATTTATATATGTAGACAGTATGAACATAGTATTCAATTCTGTATAGTGACTCAGTTTTATACCTCAATCTTCAGACAATGTCTTTCTCTCTCACTATAAATGTCTGTGTCTGTGTATGTGTGTGTGTGTGTGTGTGTGTGTGTGTGTGTGTGTGTGTGTGTGTGTGCACATACAAAGGGAACAGGAAGTAGAATAGAACAAAAAGGTATTCAATGGCATGCCCATTAAGCTTATACATTCAAAATAATAAAAGATAATGTTGAAAATGAATAAAGAGAAAGACCACATTTAAAATTAAAAATAATACCCCAAAACAATAGTGATATCATAGGGAACAGTGTAATGCAAATTGCTTTTCTCAAAATTTACAAAACAGAATTCATTATTGTTATATTAAAAATTAACTGAAAAAGAAGTCAACAGTATTTAAATTTCTATAAGAAATGTAGGCAAAACTTAGGCAGTTACCAATGAAATAACACAACAAAAATATCTGAAAATAAATTGAGCACATTAAAAATAGAATTATTAAAATAAAAATGGTATAAACAAAAGCTTTTAAGGGATAATGTAATTAGAAAAAATAGTGTCTTAAAATTTGATAAAGCAAATTTCAGTTGAAAGTCATTCATGTTAAAAACATGAAAGCTGCCTCCACCATGTTGCATCACTTTAAGATCAGATAAAAGGTTGTTGGTAATATGAGTCACTTAGTGAAATTCCATTTTCTGTTGACTTGCCACAAGTTAATTCAATTTACTTGTTTAACCACTCAGACTCAAGTTTTCTTTGTGTTACATTTAGAAATGTGCCAACTAAAAATAAATTTTCAGACCTGTTTGTCTACCACTCTATGACTACATTTTGCCAGGAATTACACAATGTATTAGAAAAAATCAGTTTTAAATATTGTCTAACATAATATATTTTCAAATTCTCTTTAATACAAATGCTTATGATATCCAAATATTACACAGTTCATGTCATGTAAGCTGACAATAAAAGATGATTGTATAACAGAAGCTACTATAACTAAAATGAAAATTAATGGAATACTTGATAATATAAATAAATTAAATTTTTTTTTATATAAATGAATTTATATCAGTTATTGTTTAATTAAATGATTGAAATGTAAGAAATTAGAATATTTATTTGAATGTGAGTTCTAAATAGATTAATAATCTTCATTAGCTAAAAAGGTGTTATTTTAAAGATTGTGTTTGGGGATGTTATTTTTTACATAAAAATATTAGTGATTAAGTTTATGATTACATTTTGTAGAGATATTTGCTGAAACTGATTTTTAGTTTGAATAATTTCCTTGTAAATATATAGAGCTTATGCTCAATTTTCAGTTTTGTTAACAAAAATTATGGCATTAAGAAACCAATTTGAATTTGGTAATACAGATTTGTTAATTTTTCATAACTTTATAAACTTGGTTTACCTGTCTTTTACAAAATACCTTTAAAATAAGAAAAGGAGGTTTGGTCATAAAAATTAGAAAATTATTTAATTCATTTGAAACAGTATATTAAAATGCTAAATTTTTAATTAATATGTATCATTGATTTCTGCAATTTAACAGAATCCTGAATTTGAAAAGAAAAAGTGCTCCCAAGTCACTCACCCTCATCATTTGGTGCTTGTACCATATTCTCTTCACAGCCAGCCTTCAAGGTTAAAATCTCCACTGTGGACTTAACCAGAGCAGTCTGGGCAGTAACTGATTGAGGGACTTTTGTATTCATAAAAATTAAAATAATATCACATAAAACTGGATATGATGAACTTAATCAGTTCATCAAAATATTGTAATCATTAGATAACATCTCCGTTGTTCTTTTGCTGTTATAGTTGTAAATCAGAGTTGCATATAGGGAGAACATGATACAGTGAATACTACATAGCCCATGGCTAATGACCAATATTAGGAGGCAGAGATACTTGAGATGTTGTCTGGGCAAGTTTAACTTCCTGTTTTTTTCTTTTTCTTTTAAATCATTATTTACTTATAAACTGGCAACAAACACAGAAAGTAAGAGTTTTCATTGAGATGTTATTTTTAGGTTCTTGAAACTTTGGTATTTTTCTCAAAAAGGAATCAGAATTTAATTTTTCCCCCTTTAATAATGAATTGCAGCTTTTTGTTTTATTAATGTGTAATCATTTTAATTATACATATTTGGATCAAACTTGCAGGATTCTTGGCTAATAAGCAATTCTAAAATTTATTTTTATTTTGTTAAATATTTTAGAAGAGATTAAATGTAAATAAAGCAAATTCTTTCTTGCCTTTTCACTTTATTGTTAGATTTTGTGAATGAACTTAGGCCATTAATATCCACCATTTCAAAAATGAGATGGCAGGTAATAATGGATTATGGGTAGAATTATTTAGTAACAGGTAAATCTATAATTAATATAATATATAACATAATTAATATAATACATAGTTTAATAATAGGTCTATAATTAATACAGAATTATTTTAGAGACCTATAACTAATACCGGATTTTTATTATAATTATTAAAATGAAAACTAGGCATTAATTGATTGAAATATAAATAACCACAAAAGTATTGTTTATAGCTTCTTGTATTATTAAAAGCAAAGGAGATCTGTATAAAAAATGGAATAAAACTCATGTTGCATATATATATATATATATATATATATATATATATATATATATATATATATATATTAAAAGAAAAAAAGTCTAAACACCAATTAATTGCATCCTGTGATTTAATTTATAATAAAATCCAAAAATGGCAACAATACAATGAAAGTTGTATTGAGTGACTTGGAATAAAATCTTTCTCTTAAAAATTGGCGAATAGTAAAGCAAATATCATAAATTCTCTCTCTTTTTTAATTAATTTTCATTTAAAACAGTCGAAAGATAGTGATAAATAAATAACTGAAAAATATAATTTACATACTAGAAAATGAACGAGTGAGCCGTCCCTGAGGATAAAGAGGAGAAGTAAAAGACATAGCCATTTGGTTGGGTTTGTTCAGAAGGTTTAGGTCACCTGGGGTATTAACTGGTTGATACTGGCCATTGCTTCTGCAAAGAATTAAAATACAAAAATCTAAGTAACTTAAAAAAGAGGAATGTTCCAAGAATTTCACATTCAGCTCTCATGAAAAAATACTTTTAAAATTATTTCTGATTATTTTGAAAGATCAAAAATTCACAAATATTATCTGAAAATTTGAGAATATTAATAATAGAATTATTGAATACAAGCTGAATATGAACAGAAGAAAGTAAATTCAAGCTTTAACCTAAGAATTAAGTTTTTAAGGGATAATGCAATTAAAAAACTAATGCCATAAATCTTGATGGAAAGTCATCTGTGTTAAAATATGAAATATGCCTCCTCCCTGTTATGTCATTTTAGGATCAGATGAAAAGTTGTTTACGGTGCAAGTCATAAGCTTGATAGTATCTATCAATATTCAGATGACATATAGGTTGAATATAAGTAAGAATTGTAAATAAGCATTAATTACTTACAAATCAACACTAACAGATCGTTGACGCAATTGTCCACGGCTAAAATCTGTCTTTTCTTTTTGACTTAGCCTGCGGGCCAGACGAGAAAAACCACTGTTATTATCCAATCTGAAAAAAAAAAGAAAGGAAATAAACAAACTGTAGAAATAGATAAAGTATGTTATTTGTTGGTTATGTTAGAATAAATATTAAAGCAGATTGTAATTAATTCAATGAAATTAAACACATTATACCCAAAGAATTTGATTTTATATATAATTATTATTGATTATATTTTATAATCATTTGCAAAAAAAGAAAAATATATATATATATATGTATAAATATATATTTGAATTTGTTTTAAGCAAGTTTAGTACCAAAGTCCCATATTCTCAGTGGAATTTTCATAAAATATTTATTCTACACTTAAATTTAGTTTTATTAAGATTTAAACTTAAAAATCATTTATCATTAAATCAATGTTGAAAAAGGGGTTTACATATGTATAATTAAGCCAATGATGTTGTCTACTGAACACCTTTTCACTTATCTCTTTAAGATGCTTAACAAGTGAATATCTTGTGAATGCAAAATATAACAAGAATTTTTCTTTTTTATAATACAAAAATCTTTTTGCACTAATAACAATATGTAATCAATTATGCAATTCAAATGGAATCAACAAATGGAGACATCTATGAAGAAAAGAAGCTATATTCATGAATAAAACTGTTAGTCTAAGGAATATTAACAAAATTATCACAATTCATAATCATTTATGGTGTTATGTTATTATGTCTTACTGTCATGTTAACATTTTTAAAAAATTATAAATTTTTGTAATATTAGAAAAGTTTTTCTGTTTTTTTCTCTTAAATAGGAAGATTAAATAATATATAGATAGAAACTTAATGAGAATTATATCTCCAATGAAAAATTTTAAAATTCAAAAATCTTTCTGTTTCTGAGATGTGTAATTATTATCATTACACTCTTGCTTACTCAGACTAGTATCTGAATCTTAGTTGTTATTAGCACATTTTGATCATTGTTCCTTAGATTTATATTAGATTTGTCTCAGCAGAAATAAACTTAATATTTCTAGTTCTATCCTTTTCATTATTTTGCTAAATATTTCTAAATTATTCCTTTTTGTGAATTCAAAATTATTTTTTACAACAATCAGCCATTTGCACATTTTTTCCTTTGCATTCTCTGAAGCAATCAAATTTTACTTTCAAAATAGAAGTAGAACTAGTTTTTCATCTTTTTCTTTGTTTCATTTTAAAACAATTATTACACAATGTAAGGTTTCTTTTTTAATTATAGGGAGACAACTTTTAAAAAGTTGTGATTCACAGCCAAAACCAGACTGAAATAATAGTTTTCTATGCCAGATTTGTTTAAAACAGTCTTGAATTAAATGACTACATAATCTCAAGCTAAATGGACAAAGAAACGAGAAATGAGGTATGAGATTAGTCATATAAGCATCAACAGTGATGTTGCTTATTTTTGAGTTTTCATTTGAAAATTTGATAATAAATTCAATTAATAGCTCAGTTTAAAAGTCACTTCTAACAAAGACAAGGCAAATGTCATCATGTATAGAATAAGAAGCTGCTAGTCTGGACCTAAATTTCAAAAGATCCCAATTTTATTTTGAAACATCAATTTTATCAACACATATTTCAGAATTAGTGTGTGGGTAGGGCAACAGGTATGGTATCAAAAACGGAATCAGCAAGTTTGAATTTCAGGCTAGTCTATTGCATACCCTTTCACATAAATACACTTGGAAAAGGGCCTTAATCTATTTTATCTCCCACCAGCTATGGATTAAATAGCAATGTAGACTGGGTTCTGCAGTCTTGAGTGATTACCAATCCCAGTCAGTCAGTTAAATGCTATATGTGATACGTATATGGGTGATTATGTCTCTTTCAATTAATGACTGACTATGCAGAAAATTTCCTGGAGTAGGCTGCTATTTCATCCTGTAGTAGACTGGCTGCTAACCAACACTATAGGGCAGAGTCTGTCTTGCTATTCAACCACTAGCTGGGGAGGGGGAGAAGAGATAGATTCATGCCTTTCCCAAGGGTATCTGCATACAAGTGAATGCAATGAACCCAACTGGAATTTGAAATCAGCTGAAACTACATTATATAATAAAGCCTTTTTGCCATGGAAAGATGCATCCACAGAAAATCAACTTACACACACTTTTAAGCATACAAAACTTGTAAAAATGTAGATAAATTACAGTTTTAAATTTTACCACCACAGTTACAGGAAGCTCATTTAGAATATCAATTGTGATTAATTACCAATACTGCTATAAAATGTTGAACTTCTAAAAATAATTTTGGCAAACATGGATAAACATGCCTGCAATAAAATAATGTCAAAAGGACAGTTTTGCCCATGACAACACATTTTTTAACTACCTTCACTCTGGCAATATTTTATTTTATTTTTTAAAAAAAGCAATGATCAGAATTGGAATAAAAGTGAAATTATACATTTTCTTTGTTCATGAGAATTGACACCAAAATAATAAACACTATTAGTTCTAACTGTATTAGTTTTTAGAATGTTATAAATATAAAAGTATTCTTATAAATAAACAATCAAATATAAATAAATTAATATTTTTGTTGTAAATTCACAACAAAAATATGTATAAATTCATTTTCATCATATGTTTTATTCCAATTCTAATCATCACTTTTTAAAACAATAAACATTGCCGAAGTAGTGAAGGTAGTTAAAATAAAAGCAATGTCATAGGAAAAGCCATCCTTTTGACACACCATGGCATGATTATTTATATTTGCTATAATTTTAAAAGCAGCTTTTTCTGGTAACATGCATTTTATTTCACTAGATTTAAACATACAGTCACATATACTCTTTCAGACTAATCTCTAACATTTGTGTAATAACTACATTTGAAGACAAAACTTGAATTTTTTTTATGTAATTTTTATAATTTAAAAATGGATCATGAATATTCACCTGTTAATGCTTAGTATTATTCATTTCATCAGCAGAATCTATGGAAACAGCAGTGAATGGCTGATTTTCAATGCTACAGCCACAATTTCACCTCCACAACAAAATATTTTCTCCAAGGAGCTACCAACATAAAATTTATTATTGATATTGATGTTAATATTTATATATTATCAATTTCTTCAGTGAATGGAGCTGTTTTGGATCTGATTCCTTTATTGATCACATATGACAAATTACAAATAAATTTGGAGATTCTAAATTCTTGTTTAAAAATCTCTTTCTAATGGATTTTTGTGATTGCTGATGTCACTAATCTTTTATTAGGCTTTGATTTTTTTTAATAACTTAGGTGTAACCAGACAATAATGTAAAAAGGAAGAATAATTTGAATGTAGCTTCATCTTTAATAAACTTAATTGTTAATGGCATCATTAATAAGAGTTATAATGTATTACATCATATCATAGAAACACAACAGGAAAATACCATGATGTTTATCATAGAAGAGATACAGTATTTGCTAAAACAAGTTTTTAATGATTTCTTTTAATAATATTATGCAAGAACTTTGTAATGTAACTGCCCTAGTTCATCCAAAATCTGAAGTCTCTAATCACTGACAGTAATTAGTATGCTATTGAACAGCCATACACCAAATAATCAGGAACAATTGGCACAAACTTAGATAAAGTATTCTGCTTTTGTTGCTCTCAGCTTGTTTAGCAGTGTTTTATTTTTACCGTCTTACTGAAGGTCACCAAATGATTTTACTAACAAATCATAAACTCATATACATTGCTTTTCACAGTTTAAACCAATTAAAATTGAATCACAAGTAACAATAGCTGTCAATCATACTTATTATAAAACCCAGGTTGTGTGTGTGTGTGTGTGTGTGTGTGTGTGTGTGTGTTCGTTTATATATTGGATCGGATTTCCTACATTTTTCAACCGATTTCAACAAAACTTCACAGGACTACGTAAAATTACCTTGCGGTGGTTCTGACAGCGCCAAAAATTGGAAAATCACAATTGTTTTTGCACGAAATCAGTATGAAAACACGATTAACAGGCATCGCTGTCACGAGAATGAAAGGGGGGACAACTCATATCGAGGTATAAAACCCAGGTTGTTTGTGCGTGTGTGTTCGTTTATATATGGGATCGTATTTCCTACATTTTTCAACCGATTTCAACAAAACTTCATTTTGGCAGGTAGTGTTTCTTATTGTCTTACACACTTTTTTCTTTATTTTTACATTCAGAATGTTTTTAAAATTCCATTTACAAGACAATTGTTTATAATAAAATTCTATTCATCGGTAGACTCATAATGATTGAAAACAATGTTTTTGTTTGAGTTTGGGTTTGACCAATTCGTAAAAAAAAAAAAACAAAAAAAAAAACATGCGTGTCCGTCAACCTTAAACAATAATCTTTGTCAATTTTATTTTTCAGTCTTTATGATGGTTGATACTTGATTTATCTCTTACTGTTACATCCCCGGGCAACGCCGAGCTCTACTGCTAGTAATTACTAAATGGCATTGCTGACATATATATTAAAGGTGGTTAGAATATTGTCATTGAATGTATAAGTAGCTTTTGCTATACAAGTAGATGTCTGTTACTTGTTAGAAATCATTGAGGTACAGTATAATAATAAAGAAATTAAATCTTATTAACCTCAAAGAGTTTTCAGTGATGTAATAATTCTAAAACATATGAATGTATCTACTTCTTAGAGATTCTATACTCGAAACTTTTGGTAAATTTATTTTTGGTACCTTTATTCATTGTTTCCTCCTGGTATTGAATTATCTATAAAGTTAACTGGTTGGTTGATTTTGTTTAGCAGCATATCAATCTCTATAGGTCATTTAATACCGAAATCTACATATTTTTACGTAATGTTATGCTTTCAACTACAGATATTTTGTATATAATTTTATACTTTCAGGGTAAAGATATATTTTTTAGATATATAGTTTATAGATCATAAGATGTATTGTTGGTAATTTTACTATAAAAGTGTATTTTTATATTTTTTAGTGTTACTTGATTGTTATTTGCTATAAAAATGTATAGTTGCTCATTTTATTACAA